CTTTATTTCTACTTCCATAACATACAGTGAACGAGAAAAGCTCATTTCCATGGACGTGTTTGACCCGTCTTAAAATACCCGTCTGAAAAGTAAATAAAATACAACTCTCTAGTAATCGCTCTAATCAACCCATACTAGCGAGATAACAACAGGAGGAATTTGAACATTTCAATGGCACTTCAAAGTAGAAGACTTCAAATGAAAACTAGAAAGCGCAGCGTTTTAGGCCGCTACGACACCAAGGAGCACCAACAGCAAAGGCAACGCGAGTAGTTGAGTGGAATGGACCGCTGGAGGAGAAACATTGCAGAGAAATCCTTGACAGGTATAAATCAATCCCACTATCCGATCACCGTCACCGTCTTCACTCAGTTTCACCTGAAATTTCTAAATTACTCATTCTTTACTATTCAGGCCTAGCGGTTAGAGACAAATCTTCATATGGAGACATTACCTAAAATTTTTGTAGACATTCACTTCATTTTTTTCACAGAACATTAGTCCCCGTTTTCCCCGAAATTCCTCTGTTCCGAGTACATCTGGTTCCGCCCGCTTCAACGACCCTAACCCCTACCAAGCATGGATTTCGAGATACCACCAGTGAAAGGTTTCTTTATGGATAGCATCCAGTTCTGGGGAAAGGGAGAGGAACACTCTTGTCTATCTTATCCTAGAGAGCACTCCTTTGGGCTCTCAACACTACGGATAAGATATTATTTGAACGACTCATTTAAAGTGCACTTTTGATAAAACCGGTGGATCTGCAATTCACAACTCCTGTCCACATCCTGTCCAATTTTCTGCTCCAGTTCATCCACCGTGGAGCTCCTCCAAACTGAAGTCGAGGCAAAGACTTCCATCCCCTGGTTTAGGATCGTTTCGTTGGTCCATTACGGACCAGATTGTGAGGAGGCCGCACAGTTCACCGGTAATTATCAGAAGCATATCTTTGACAAGTAGAATAAGTATCACTGGCGCTCTCGTTCTTATCTTAAAGGAGGAATTCACGATAAGAACGAAGGTCAAAGAAGGGGAAAATTGCATAGTTGGGAGACAGGCGGACCTCCTGAGGGTGCTGACCGACGCGCAATTGGCAGCGAAAGATTTGACCTCGGCGATCTAGCATGGCTCACTCTTGGCGAGTGATTAGATAGCAGAGAGAGCGTAGTGTTGAAGAGGGCACAGCGATGAGAGTCGCATCAATGCGCAAATCAACGGGCAAGGAAGGGGTCCCATTTCTCGGGTTTCGGGCCGTTTCAATGGTTTCTTCTTCATCCCTGCTCCACTGACCACCTCTACCCTTATTTCCAATGAGCTAACTTTTCATCGTAAATTCTGCCTTTAAGTATCGGAGAACACAATGGAGTGCCCCCCCCCCCAAACTGGATTTTCACCCTTCTATGCATTTGGTAGTATATGATAGCATCAGAGTATCCCATTGCGTTGGTGAAGCGAGTCCTTATCACTTTGATATTCTGTCAGTTATGGGTTTCAATAACAGCATCCAAGGAATATTATGGGGGCAGACAGACAGAACAGCCATGACACCAGCATATTATATAACACATACATATAATATATGTTATTCCCAAGTTAAAACGTGGGATACCAGCAATTAGGGGCGGAAGTGGTGTAGTGACAAGTGGCGCGCTTACCACGCGAGCGGTCCGGGGATCAAATCCTGGGTCGTGAGTCGCCCGGGCCAACCAAGCCTTCCATCCCTCCGGGGTCGGTTAATTGGTACCAGACTTGTCTGGGAGGATAAAAAACGATAACTTCGT